TTACCAACAGAAATTTGGAAAGTAACACCTATTATTTACCCTACCAAGACTGTCAGGGCAGAACCCAACATTGCTTAGTCCAGCAAGAAGCACAATGACATCTCCCATTAAGGTTAACTGACATTAAAAAATTTCATTATGCTCCCTTCAGTCTTCACTCACACCTCAAAGCTAGGGGGGATAATTTTCCTTACGGTCCTTCCTCACATATCGCTAGCCTAGGCCTCTCATCATGTGGAACCCAAGTCTCATAAGCGAGGATGTTGGAGTAGGGGGTTAATGTTCGCAAATTAAGTTGGCTCTTTCTAAGGTATAAATCTCATTCCTTTTTAATTAGATGAAGTATTTTGCAATTCTTGTTTTTATCTTTTTGTTTTTTACTTTTTCATGTTTGGTTTACAAACATCAACATCTTACTAATGCAACAACAAACCTTATCTTAACTTTTCTGTTCTGTAGAAAAATCATTACTTTTTAATGTTGACACTCTGAATTCTTCCCTTGTTTCACATGCTTATCTTTCCTCCTCTTTTGATCATATATTAGATTATGGAAGGTATTTTATGATGATAAAGATCGGCCCGTTAGATACCTGCTCGCTAAAGAACTCATAATCAAGCCTGATGCTGGGGACCTTGAAGTCAGTTCTAGAAACTTCAAAATCATCTCCACGATAGATTGATATTCAGTACAATAGTCGGTTTAAGTACTTGTTGAATTGTTTGTCATACCTGGCCATGTTTTACATTCTGAACTGCTTTGTCCAAAATACTCATTCTTGGAAGATATTCCAAAATCTTTGCAGATAATATTTCGAAATGTGGAGAACAAGGCAGAGCAGAACCTGACGTTGCTTAGCCCAGCGGTTGGCAACTTTTCTTTATTAAATCGATTCATGAAAATCATTTGAAAGTAATGTTCTATGTTCACAGCCTGTAGAGCTGTTTTGACAAGAACGTACTGTAAGGTTCTCTGCATCTAGTTGTGGGGTAATCTGTATGCAGTTTGGTGTAAGAAGTAATATTTCATTCTACAACCTCAAGTTAAACCTTCTCATGTTCTGATATTTCTATGTGGTCTCTGGTTCTAAGTTTTCAATATGATCATAAGTGATCTAGGACAACGTCTGGCTAAGGAAATTTAAACGCTTTAGAAATATATAAAGCATAGGGGGATGGTACACTGTGATTATAATGTACGGAGTATAGCTTTGGATTAAACTATCATAAGGACGTTCAGTATGCTTCAAAATCAAAACAAACCATTTTCATAGAATGTCTATGAGAATAAGATGGGTTTAATAACATCAAAAGAATATAAATCCTGCAACAAGAGAATGATGTAAGTCGAAGAGAGATGAGAGGTAGAGAGAGAGAGAGAGCTTGGGGACGAAGAACACAAGGTAAACAGATATCACAACAATATGAGAGGTTCAGATTTGACGATAGGAGACGATTCCAACAGGAGGTGGGAGGGTATGACAAGAGAGTTTACAACCAGGCAATCCCTTTCCTTTTCGCAAACTTTCCAGAAGAATGGTCATTTGAACAGATGTGGCATACATTTAACAGAATAGGCCTGGGAAGGGTGCTGGAGATCGAATGTTCGATGAAGAGGGCTAGACTGGGTACAAGATTTGGTTTTGTTTGGTTTTCTGGATGTGAAGAATGAAGTTGATCTAGAAAGAAAGTTAAATGAAGTAAGAATAGGGAACCAGGTCTTACAAGCTAACAAACCAAGGTACATGAAGTGGGTTTGTTAAAAGATACTGATTCCTAACAACCACTCCAAGGCTTGGAACTGGAGACAACAAAACCTTAATGGAAATGGTAGAAGACCATCATATGCTGAGGTAGTTAAAGTAGTTAATAGCAGGATGGAAGAAAGGCCCAATAAGGAAAGAAGGGAAGAAGGAACAGAGCAAAAGTATGGAAGCAATGGAGTCGGCACCTTTGGAGCTCAGCAAAGGCAATGGAAATCGAAACAGCAACACCATCATTGGTCAGGCATGGAGTTGAACTTTGATCTGGAGGAATATGCATGGCTAGAAAAATGCTTTGTGGGTACAGTGCACTCAGTGAACTCGATACCTAATTTGCAAGAGAAATTCTTCATGGAAGGGGTTTTCTTTTGCAACATTAGACCAATGGGACGTAGATTAGTGTTATTAGAAGGCCAGGATTATGAGGATTTGAAGGAGCTGGTTGATACTGGAAAAGATTGGTTGGGGAATTGGTTCGAAGACGTGAAGCCATGGACACCTACTGTGGTAGCAGCGGAGAGGTTTGCTTGGATCCGATGTCAGGGTCTCCTAGCGCATGCTTGGAAGTCGGAGACCTTCGAAACCTTCGGAAGATTATGGGGGAACTTTGTAACTTTAGATGATAGCACGATCAGCAAGAAGAGATTCGACGCTGCAAGATTCCTAATCACGACACCATCCACAAAATCTATCTCCAGGTCTATCACAGTGAAGATCAATGGAGAATTCTTCACACTCAAGTTCATAGAAGAGGAATCAACAAACAATCTCTTCACAAATCCAGAGAAGAAGATGATGAAGGAAGCAGCTCTTCAAACAATCAGAACGAGGTAGATTCCGACTTTGACAAGAACATGTTCAAACAGTTCGAGCATCAGACACCGGGGATTGAAGGCGATGAGGTGGAAGGCATGGAGGATGATGTGGCAACAACAAATATGGGGGATGGAAAGGAGAATGAGGTGGCATGTCAAAACGCTGAGGTGGATATGCATATCGATGAGGTGGAAGGCAGCAAAAGGAATGAGGACAAGGAAGCTAGTATAGGAACCGAGATCATTCAGGAAACAGAGGGTATGGGTGATTTCACAACGAGGCTTGATGATTTAAATTCAAATATCCAACGAGTGGGAGAAACAAGAAGGATTGTGGCGGATCCAGATTTGGTGAACAATAAAGTTGACCGAGGAGACTTCGAAAATGACAGTTAGTTGAGTACCAATGCAGATATGGGCAGCTATGACAAGTCTTATCAAGAAAGAAAAAAAAAATTGTAGAAGACTACAGGAGATGCGGAGAGAAAGAAGGACATGTTAAAGAATTAAATGATGGGTTGCCAACAAAAGGATTAGGCCTTGAGGAGGACACTGGGCTGAGACACCCCTAACTGGTTGATTTACAACAGCCAACACATTCAGGCCCAGAGAAGCATAAGGAGAATAACAGCAACAGGTTTAAAATAAGGAACAGAAACTCAGAATCTTCATTCTGGGATGACCTCGATAGTGATTCGGGCATAGAAGCTAAATGGATGAACAGAAACAAAGGGTGCGGGAAAAGGAAGAAGAAGAGAAGAGCAAAGTCTTACGCATCAATGTACAAAACATTCGAGGGATTAGAAGGCTTCTTGGTGCAACAAAAATCCAAAGGATAAAGAAAAGCAGCTGTTGAGATAAAGAAAAAGATCCTGTTTGAGAAAGATTCGGAGAAACCAATTGCAGATATCTCGATCAACGACAGCAGCATCCAGAACTGTAATAAAAGCATCGAAACAAGAAATAGAAAACGAAACATGGAAGCTCTGTGGTCACGGGTGAAAGAATTTGGGGTGAACGCACAAGGAGAGGAGATTTCGATGCTACGGAAACTCGAAGAAATGGAAAGCCGTGACAAAGCAAGATGGAGAAAGGAGGAAGAAAAGAAGAATAGAAAAGGAGACTAGGTGATGTCCCACTTCCCATGATCTTATTGTCTATTAATATTAGAGGATTATGGGGGATAGGTAAGAAAAGGGAGATCCGGGAAATGGTAGCTAAACAGAAAGTTGATATTTTGTTTATTCAAGAAACTAAAATGGAGAAAGTAGATAAAAGGTTTTGTAGAATGATCTGGGATTCAGATAATTTTGAGTGGGCTGCACAATCTGCAAATGGAGCATCAGGAGGAATTTTAATCATCTAGAATTCAATTGTTTTCAAGAAGATTAGTATTTTAGAAGGTGCAGTGTATTTAGGGGGTGTGGGGTTTTGGGGAGAAGAAAACACTCCTTGCTATTTGGTAAATGTTTATTCATCATGTGATTTGACATATAAAAGAATTCTTTGGGAGAATTTATCAAATCTTATCTACTCCAATAAAGGAAACTGGTGTATAGCTGGAGATTTTAATGCCATCAGAAATCTTCAAGAAAGGAAAGGAGGTATTGGTGTAAGGAGGGAGCTTAGGGAGTTTAACGAATTTTATTGAGATGTGTGGGCTGGTGGACTTTCCTATGATAGGGAGAAAATTCACTTGGTATCATTCGAATGGTAACTGCATGAGCCGCTTGGACAGATTCTTATTCTTTGAGGAATGGTTACTAAACTAGACAAAGCTAAAGCAGTGGGGGTTACCTAGATCATTGTCAGATCACTGTCCAATTCTGGTAAAGGATGAAGCACGTAATTGAGGCCCAAAACCCTATAAATTCTTCAATGTTTGGCTGCAAGACCATGCTTTTAGAGAAATGATAGTGAAATAGTGGAACAGTTTTAACATCCAAGGCTGGGGTGGTTATGTGCTGAAAGAGAAGATTAAACTATTGAAAAGTAGTATGAAGGAATGGACAAAGAATCATGTGCAGGCGGTGGACAAACAAATTGAGGAAGCAAAAGGGAATATAGCAAAACTTGATTATAAAGGGGAACTACAGCAGCTAACCGAGGTGGAAGGCTTTCTCAAGCGGGATCTAATGCTAAATCTATAGGAAAACATTCAAAAAAAAAAAGAAGAAATGGCAAGGCAAAAATCAAGGATGACATGGATGAAAGATGGGGATGCAAATACAAGCTTTTTCCACCAATGCATCAAAAGTACACGGAGAAGGAATGAGATTAATTCCTTAATGGTCAACGAGAAGGTCCTACATGAAGTCAATGAGCTGAAACAAGGAGTGATGGAATATTTCATGAATTTATTTGCAAAGGAAGACTAGAAATGATGACTTCTGGAGGGTGTGGATTTTAACAAAATTTTTGAAATAGAAAAGGATCTCTTAATAGAACCGTTCCTTGAAGTAAAGGTCAAAGCAGCTGTATGGAACTATGATAGTGATAAAGCCCCAGGGTTGGATGGTTTGAGCTTTGGATTCTTGAAAGCAGAATGGGAAGTGGTAAAAAAGGATATACTAAAGTTTCTAAAGGACTTCCATATCAACAATAAGCTAGTGAGGGGCTCCAATTCCTCTTTTTTGGTTTTGATACCTAAAAAAGAGAACCCATAAAGACTTGAAGAGTACAGGCCTATTTCCCTAATAGGTTGTATGTATAAAATCCTTGCCAAAATCCCTGCCAACAGATTGAGTAAAGTGTTGGACAGGCTCATAGGTGAAGAACAATCAGCATTCATTAGAGGGAGACAACTGGTTGATGGTGCAGTCATTGCAAATGAGACGATAGATGAAATTAGAAAGAAAAAATTGTGTTGTTTTCTTTTCAAGGCTGATTTTGAGAAGGCCTATGACAATGTCAATTGGGAGTTTTTGGATTACATGTTGGAAAGGATGAATTTTAACTCGGTTTGGAGGGGATGGATTCAGGAATGTATGCAAACAAACTCGGTATTTGTTTTGCTTAATGGTAGCCCAACAAAAGAATTTACAATGGGCA